TGGGCTCACAGGCGCTCCCCCCCACACACACTTTTCCCAATCCCTGCTCCACCTTTAAAGCCTTACATGGCTTGGGACCGAGTTAGCTGAGGTACTGTCTTTTTCCCAATTCTACCCATCAAATTCAATCTACCCAATTGGTCATGTTGCAGATCGTGTCAGCCAAAGAGGGTCAGCTGGCAGGGACTAGATGGCAATACAATAGACCCTGCCTCTCTGGAATATCCTCCATTGGAAATTAGAATGGTCCCAACTCAGTTGGGAGATGGTATAGGTTCTCCTGCTTAAGCAGGGGGCTGGACTAGAAGACCTCCAAGATCCCTTCCAGCTCTATTCTATATATATAAAATCAAGGAGTATATGAAATCCCATGCACCGCTTGTCCCACCACATACATCGGACAAACCAACAGAAGAATAAGTGAACACACTGAAGAACATAAGAACTCAGTCAAAAAGGAGGAACCAACTTCTTCCCTGGTCCAACACCTTAAAATCACAGGACATGAAATTGACTTTATAAAGACCAGAACTATCGCCAAAACTGAACACTTTAATAACAGAATAATCAGAGAAGCCATTGAGATAGAAAAACGCCCACACAGCATGAACAAACGAGATGATACCTCCCGCCTACCAGCCATTTGGAAACCCGCCCTTATTGACAAACGAGTCCCTAACACAAAGAATGACACCAGACCCACACTCACAAAAGCCACACAGGATGTCACCACCGCACGTCCATGCAAAAAGCAAACCCAAAGCCACACCAATGATGAGGCATGACCACAAACCAGAAGCCAGACCACAGCTGCATCATTAGCCATTTTAAACCCCTCCAATCCATACATGAAGCAAACTGACACCCACCATGAAGATGAGGCACAACCACGAACGCGAAGCCAAACAATAGCAATGCAGCTCACCATCTCACATCCCCCTGCAATTCAGACTAACCTGAGCACAACAAAGCCCCCACCCAAACAGAACACTCCCCCAACCAATCAGAGCACAGCCAACCCCCCATCCAATCAGAGCACAGCCAAGTTCCTAACCAATCAGAACACACCTCCATGCAATCAGAACACAGCCAAGCTCTCATCCAATCAGTTCATACCCCCACTGGCAGTTAAAAGGAAGAAACAGCTACGATCACACATTGCTCTTAGAAGCACAAAGCCGAAAACACCAGCCTGAAGATGACGAATGGGACTTCGTCGAAACGTCGCCAAGACACTTCCAATTTTACACGGGAGAAAACCGGAATAACCAAAGACCTACATATAAACACCCGCGAAAACCTCAGAAAAAATGCACACACACACACACACACACGTTTTATATATATATATATATATATATATATATATATATATATATATATATATATATATATATATATGTGTTTTCTAAGGTTTTCGCGGGTATTGTTCGGGTTTTCTCCCACGTAAAATTGGAAGTGTCTTGGCGACGTTTCGACGAAGTCCCATTCGTCATCTTCAGGCTGGTGCTTTCAGCTTCGTGCCTCGAGCAGCAGTGTGTGGTCTTGGCTGTTTCTTCCTTTTAACTGCCAGTGGAGGTATGAACTGATTGGGTGGGAGCTTGGCTGTGTTCTGATTGGGTGGAGGTGTGTTCTGATTGGTTAGGGGATTGGCTGTGCTCTGATTGGCTGGGGGGTTGGCTGTGCTCTGACTGGCTGGGGGGTTGGCTGTGCTCTGATTGGCTGGGGGAGTGTTCTGTTTGGTTTTAAAGTCAATTTCAGGACATGAAATTGACTTTAAAAATACCAGAACCATTGCCAAAAGTGAACATTTTAATAACAGAATAATCAGAGAAGCCATCGAGATAGAAAAACGCCCACACAGCATGAACAAGCAAGATGATACCTCCCGCCTACCAGCCATTTGGAAACCCGCCCTCATTGACAAACGACTCCCTAACACAAAAAATGATACCAGACCCACACTCACAAAAACCACACAGGATGTCACCACCAAACATCCACGCCAAAGCCACACTGACTATGAGGCACGACCACAAACCAGAAGCCAGACCACAGCTGCATCATTAGCCACTTTAAACCCCCCCCAATCCATACATGAAGCAAACTGACACCCTCCATGAAGAGGAAGCACGACCACGAACGCGAAGCCAAGGAATGGCAGGGCAGCCCAAAATCTTGAATCCCTCTGCAACTCAGACTAACCTGAGCACAACCAAACAGAACACTCCCCCAGCCAATCAGAGCACAGCCAACCCCCCAGCCAATCAGAGCACAGCCAACCCCCCAGCCAATCAGAGCACAGCCAAGCCCCTAACCAATCAGAACACACCTCCACCCAATCAGAACACAGCCAAGCTCCCACCCAATCAGTTCATACCTCCACTGGCAGTTAAAAGGAAGAAACAGCTAAGACCACACATTGCTGCTCGAGGCACGAAGCTGAAAGCACCAGCCTGAAGATGACGAATGGGACTTCGTCGAAACGTCGCCAAGACACTTCCAATTTTACGTGGGAGAAAACCCGAACAACCAAAGACCTACATATATATATATATATATATATATATATATATATATGTGTGTGTGTGTGTGTTGTGTGTGTGTGTGTGTGTGTGTGTGTGTGTGTGTGTGTGTGTGTTTTCTGAGGTTTTCGCGGGTGTTTGTATGTAGGTCTTTGGTTATTCCGGTTTTCTCCCACGTAAAATTGGAACTGTCTTGGAGACGTTTCGACGAAGTCCCATTCGTCATCTTCAGGCTGGTGTTTTCAGCTTCTTGCTGAATTTCAAAGTGTGAAATTTTAAAATCAGAATTCAGCAGTAAATGTAGAGCTGTTCTGAGGTTAAAGGTAATAGTTTATCATCATTGCCAAGTTATTCATTCATCTAGATCCTAAAAGATACACTGTTGTATTTTTCTACTTATTTTTATGCACAACTACCTTTTGTTATGGAATAGCTATTAATTCTATCAAGGATACTTAATTATTGTTCATTCAAAGATACAAGAAAAACCACTGCTTTTTATTTGTTGTTTGGCTTCAATTCTTCCTGACAGTTTAATGAGAGAGAGATATTTTAGAATAAATAAGAATATATTAAAGAATGTTAATAAAGGGATTCAATTATATTTGCATTTCTATATAGCAATACTGAGATTTTTAAAGCCCTTTGCTGAAATATTACACTGAATTTAAAATACATCATATCAGCCATTCATCAGGCACTAAAGATGATGGAATTTAAAAATATCAAGACATAAGAACAAAAAGAACGCAAGAAAATTTGAAGGTAGAGAAATTAGAAAGAAATTCTTCTAGAGCAATAAGAGCCATAACCAAACCAGTTATAATGTAAAGAATATTCTGAAAAAACATGCAGAGAAGATAAAGATTTGACTTTATCCTAGTTTCTCACGGAAGGTCACAGCCAGAGAACCATATAAAGGCACATCATACCTTCATGAAGACATGCATGTACAATGAAACTTTGAGTTGTCAACGTTGCCTATTATCCATCACTAGATATTAAAGCATCCCTCAAATGACATATTTTATCTTTCAAAAACTGTACTACCCAAATTAGAACATGCTATAACTTCAAACCAGGATTAGGTTCCACACTTAAAAATATAACTTCTCTCTTATTAGCACTGAGCTTTTTTGCTCCCTTTCTTCCAATCCCTTTTTGTATTCGAGCAATATTCCAAATTTGGTATTTGGGGACAGTTACTAAAAACAACATAAACTGCAAGAATTAATCAAACAGTACTGGACCAAATAAAGTCCAGATTTAGATTTGGTCATTTGAGAAACTTTCTTAATTCATCTGCAAAGCTATAATCAGATAGTGATACTTATATTCAAAAGAATGGTACTGAATTTAAGATAATATCTGCAAAATGAAAGAAGGGACCCAAAAAAATCCTATATAATTTCCAGCTTCCTCATCTTGTCAACCTAGGGTTGTCAACTATAGCTAAAACCAGTTTGGAAACTTCTGACCCCTGCTTAATAAATGGAACATTCATATAAATCTATCTGTGTGTATATGTGTGTGTATGTTTGAATGTATGTACGTAAGGTAGCACAAGCCACTCTCCAAAATAAGTTCAGGCCAAGATAAAGGGTATTTTTAATACATTGAATCATTAACTACTAAATACAAGTATCTATTAATTAAATATGATGTACATTTTGTTACTCATTTTGATTTAAAAGTTTTTGAGTAAATTGGAAAAATTACATAACAATCTTTAATTTAGCTTCATTCATTATCACAGGATGTAAAAATATTTTAATATAAGAAACAAATTCAATTTTTGTCCTTAGCTGCCAGATTTACTATAGAAAAATACTTGATAAATTAAGTATATTCCTTTTTGAGACAAGCAGTACTTAAAATGTATTATAACAAATAAATGCAATTTTGGTTAGAAATATTAAATTGATATTTAAAATGCATCCATCCTTGAGATTACAAAAGATTTTATGAATACTTCCAAATGGGCTTTCTTTATTTGGCTTTCATGTAGTCTGTTTTCCAGATTTCTTTGTTTGGTTTTAGATCTTGTATTTTTTATATTTATAAAGCCACACTCTGGCCAACAGAGGTTTTTAGAATGTCTTCACATTAAGTTTATTGTAGTAATACAATTTACATCAGATTCAGTTCATATTTTTCCCAAATTACTATTAATATTTTAGTTATGGGAAAATGTTGATAACAAAAAGCAAGTTAATAATTTTACTTCAATACTAGAAAAAATTATGAAAGAGCTATATACTGTATTTAATTAAACAGAACTTTCAAAAAATAGATTATCTTTTCCAATTACCATGATACAATTTAATTTATAGAACTATAAGAATACATCTTACTTTGGCAACATCAAATGTTTTGGTTTCAAATATTTATTATTTGTACTAAATAAGCTGCACTGAAGACAAGTATGTTTAATGAGATAGATTTCTGTGCAAATATTAGCCTATATGGACTTACCATATACCACATACTTTGCCATTTAGGATCATTAAAAAACATGGATTGGATGCTGCCAGGTTTGTAATCTCTCTTTCTTCTTATTTTTACAATTTGCTGTTCTATCCATTCTACCTGTTAAAAAGAAAAAAAACCCACATATTAAAACAATATCTTGTATATTTAAAAATACAGTGAATAAAATACTATGATGTTAAACATAAGCAGCATTTAAAGACAGATATCATTGGTTTATTTGACATATTTTTAAAAATATTTTTGGATAATTATCACAGCAACTTAAAACATTCTGCAAAAATTCTTTCCAAGAATATTTGTTTTTGATGCATGCTTATCCCATATACAAGATCAAAACATAAAGGAAATGAAATAAAATACAAAAGAGAAGAAAGAATACCTAAATAACAATGGTATACCATTAAAAGATCAAACCAATTTTTATGAATTTACCTTATCCCAGTTGGGTTTCATATATTTAAAAAGGTTTGGTCAATGCCATTTTCTAGATTCAAAAATGCTAGGCCTGAAACATTCCAGAAAAAGACAGTGAGAATGATCAATCAATCAGTCAATCTTTATTTTAGCTATAGCCAATATTAAATATATAGAATGAAAACCATTCCAGGAATAAGAATTTTTGGTATGACAAAACAGAAACAAAAAGATAGAGGAAGGAGATTATTGTGTCCTGAGCCTGCAAAGGCAGGCTCGGGACGTTGCAATGGTCCCTGGCAGTTGCAAGCTGCCCAGGACCAGACTGGCTGGTGCCGGCTTCGCGCGCATGCACGAGGCGCGGAGCGCGCCTAATTGTTGCCATTCTGCCCGGGGAACGTTATTAAGGGAAGCAGAGAGGCCCGCGAGTCTCAGAGCTGTAACAGAGAAGAAGAGACTACAATAAAGACTTCTTGACACTATGAGATGTTCTGTGCTCATTCGCCATTAAGCTGAGGACTCAACACTGGCGACGAAGGTGGGATGCCTTACAATTAACTAAGAAGAATTGTAAGCTTACCCAGGAGTCCTGAGAGCAGCTAGGAAGATGGCGTTAAATTCAGCACCTGCCTGCCAGTACAGCGTTGCTGGAGGTAAGCTGTCTGATAGACCCCTTCCTTACAAAGGAGAAAATGGCGAAGATAGGGAGAATAACCGGGAGCATCGTAATAACTCAAACATTGCAAGAGAGCTGGCACACAAACAGTCTAGTTGGCCCAGTACTGCTACTGTTTCCAGAATGAGGCATTAACACAGGGAGGTGGTCGGAGAGGCAAATCCCAATTCTGACACCTCCGGCACAGATGGGGGGGCAACTGAGTTTTGGGGAAATACTGAAACCCCAGACAGTCCTGTTACGGGGCTGGGAAGCGAAGGGATGCAGTTCCTTGATAGGTCCAGTGTGGGCCTGGAAGGCTCTACAGAGTTGCATAATAGTGGCAGTATTATAGAGGGGCCAGAGAGCCTGAAACTAGGCAGGTCAACCAGGTTATTGGGAGAACAAAGTCCTGGTCTGACAAACCCGGTGGGCAAGCAAGCAGACCAGGCAACGGGGCACAGTCCACGGGGACCACCATGGTCTGAAAGAGGGGGCAACTTCATGTCATCCTCTGTGCAAAAAGAAATTGGGGATTGTCAGATTCTAAGGAGGTCACAGAGAGTAAAGAGATCTCCTTTGTAACTCTGCTAGCAAAGCAGAAACAGTGAGAGGGTGTCTGCTGTTGGGAAAACTGGAAATATGGGCATTGGGTATTAATTCCAGAACAATAGCCCAGTACCATTTGGAGCATGGGTTGGCACACCACGCTCGTGTTGAGGTTGCGTGTAACTATTCATATAGTTTATTAGTCTTAGCCAGGGGGGGAAGGGGTGTTGTGTCCTGAGCCTGCAAAGGCAGGCTCGGGACATTGCAATGGTCCCAGGCAGTTGCAAGCTGCCTGGGACCAGACTGGCTGGTGCCGGCTTCGCACGCCTAATTGTTGCCATTCTGCCCGGGGAACGTTATTAAGGGAAGCAGAGAGGCCTGCGAGCCTCAGAGCTATAACGGAGCAGAAGAGACTACAATAAAGACTTCTTAATACTACGAGATGTTCTGTGCTCATTCGCCATTAAGCCGAGGACTCAACAGAGATCAAGTCCCCTTTTTATTGCCAAGATCATCATATAATCAAATAGCTAGGTCCCTAATCAAATTATCGCCTGGAGTGATGTTAGTCATGCAGGGTTAAGGGTGCAGTAGCAGTATTGTAAAAATAGTTTTTATAAAGTTAGGAACTTATGCTAGTGACAACCAAGAAAATGGACTGAGAGGCTGAAATGTTTAGGATGGGGTTGCATTCCCCCTCAATAGCATATTTACATCTGGAAACGTTCCTGGAATTCAACTGGCACAAGGTTTGAAAACTGTAACTATGATGAGGACTGTCTTTGTACCATTAAAGTGCAAAGTCACCAGTTGTGACTTTTCCTAAACTGGTGAGTATTATTCATGCCTTAATTACATTTGATCTTGATTACTGCATTGCAATCTATGTGGAGTTGCCTTTAAAATGTTTCTGAAAGTTGTATTTGTGAAAAATTACAGCATATTGAGGGCTAACCAGTACATTGTACAGAGTTCACATGATGTGGTACGGGCCAAACCAGGATGCTACAATATAGCCAAAATGTGCTGAAACAGATTGGCTCCAGATTGGCAAAGAGGTGAGGCAAGGCTTTATATTGTCATTTTATTTAACCTATATATGGACTAGAATAGAGCTGGAAGGGACCTTGAAAGTCTTCTAGTCCAGTCCCCTGCTCAAGCAGGAGAACATATACCATCTCAGACAAGTGACTGTCTAGTCTCTTCTTAAAAATTTCCAGTGATGGAGCACCTACGATTTCTGGAGGCAGAAATTGTCCTCTCTGTCAGGAAGTTTCTTCTTAATTCAAGGTTGCTTCTCTCTTTGATCAGTTTCCAACCATTGTTTCTTGTCCTTCCTTCTGGTGCTTTGGTGAATAATGTGACCCCCTCTTCTTTGTGGCAGCCCCTCAGATACTGGAACACTGCTATCATGTCTCCCCTATTTCTTCTTTTCTTTAGACTAGCCAAACCCAAGTCCCGCAGCCATATTTGTATATTTTATTCTCCAGGTCTTTGATCATCTTAGTTGCTCTTCTCTAATTTTTTTCCAAACTCTCAACACCTTTTTTGTAATATCATGAGCAAAATTGGCTGCACTATTCCAGGTATGGTTTTACTAAGGTTTTATAAAGCAGTAATAATTCTTTGTGTGATCTTGATTCTATGCCTCTGTTTATACAACCCAGGATTGTATTAGCTGTTTTGGTTGCTGCTGCACACTGCTGACTCGTAGTCAATTGATCATCCACTAGGACTCCAAGGTACCTCTCACAGCTACTGTTTTTAAGCCAAATCTTGCCCAATCTGTACTGTACTTTGATTTTTCTTGCCTAAATGTAAAACTTTGCTTTTCTCCACATTGAAACTTGTTCAAGTTTATCAAGATCTTTTTGGATCCTGAGTTTGTGTTCTGGGGTGTTCTAGTGTCATCTGCAAATTTGATGAGTTCCCCTTCTATTCCCTTATCTAAGTCATTTATGAAAATATTGGAGAGTATCGGGCCTAAGATGGAAACTTGTGATACCCCATTGCTTACTTCTCTCCATGTGGATGTAGTGCCATTGAGGACTACTCGTTGAGTACGGTTTGCCAGCCAGCTACAGACTTATCTGGTGGTGATGTTGTCTATTCCACCTTTTTCTAGCTTACCAAGAAGTAGGTTGTGGTCTACTTCATCAAATGCCTTACTGAAATCTAAGTACGCTACATCCACAGCATTTCACTGGTCTATTGAAGAATGAAATAAGATTGGTTTGGCAGGATCTGTTTTTAACAAACCCATGCTGTCTACTAGTTATAACTTTGTTTGCTTCTAGTTGTTCACACATCTGTTTTTTGATTATCTTTTCTAGGATCTCCCCAGGTATTGATATTAAATTGTAGTTTCCTGGGTCCATTATTTTCCCTTTCTTGAAGATGGGAACCACATCAGCCCTTTTCCAATCCTCAGGTACTTCCCTGGTGCTCCAAGATTTATGAAAGATGTGATGAAATGGTTCTGAGATAACATCTGCCAGCTCCTTCAGAACTCTGGAATGTAATCTATTGGGTCCCGGTAATTTATACTCATCAAGGTCAGATAGGTGTTCTCTTACCATTTTCTTGCTTATTTTAATTTTTGTTTCTAGTTTTCCTTTTGCAGTGGTTTTTTTTGGGTATGTTGGGCTATTGTTTCTTTTTGTGTGAAGACTGATAGAGGACTGATGAGTTAAGCAGCTCTGCTTTTTCCCTGTTGCTTGTTATTTCCTTGCCATCTTCTGTCTTTAGTGGACCTACAGTTTCCTTGACTTATTTCTTGTTGTTAATATGTTGGAAGTAACTTTTTTTTATTATCCTTGATTTCTGTTGCAAGTCTTTGTTCATTCTGAGCCTTTGCTTTCCTGATTTCATCTTTGTATGTTCTGGCTTTCTGCTGATAATTGGACTTAGTTATGTGCCCCTCTTTCTATTTTTTGTATTTGTCTTTTTTGTCTTTCAGTTTGTTAGAGAGATCTTTGCGCAGCCATGTTGGTTCCTTCTTGAATTTCTTGTTTTTCTTTTTCAATGGTATTGTGCTGGTCTGGGCTTTTATGATCATATTTTTCAGAGTTTCCTATGCTTCTTAGGTTGTTTTCCCCTTTAGGATTTTCATCCATGGGATCTTTCCTAGGTTCTCTCTGAGTTTGTTAAGTTTAAGGCACTGGTTGGATTGTTTTCTATTGCTAGTGTCGCATTATATTAAATTCCAGCATGACGTGGTCACTTTTCACCCAAGGTTCCTGCAATTTCACTCCCTCTATCACTTCTTCTCTATTAGTGAGGATTAATTCCAGTATAGCTTTACATCTAGTTCCCTCCTCCACCTTTTGGATGACAAAGTTGTTGGCTAGGTTGCTTAGGAATCTGTTTGATCTCCTGTTCGATGCAGAGTTTGTCTCCCACTTGATATCTGGATAGTTGAAGTTTCCCATTACTACTGTGGTATGCTTCCTACATACATTTGTTAACTGGTTGGCAA